TTCGAATAAAGAACCCGAATTCACATAACAATAATAAATGAAGAAAATAACAAGAAAAACAACACCCAACAACAAGAAAGAAATAAAAAATCAACCAATAAACGAAAAATCAAATTGCCACAAATACTCTCTTTGAAAAGTTTCAAAAATATAAAAATCATCACATCGACACCCTTCTTGAAAATGCATCTGAAGNTTACTTCTTATGAGCTCTTCATCTTCTCTTTAAATGTCAAACATTTGCAATGTAACGATGGATCAATGGAGCAATACCCTTTCCATAAGAAATCCACAAATACGAAAACAATCCCAATCGCCACAGAAACCGATGTTAACATCAACGGAATATATTCGAAACGTGATCCCAGTATGAGCTGAAATTAGCGAATGCTTTTTGGGTATTTCCACAGCAAACCTCACTTTCTATCAGTTCAACTTCATTGCTTCTATCCTTTCGTAGAGCACATTCCAGTGAGAGCTGCCACTCTTGAACATAAGTAATGATACAAAATATCATTCATAAAATAAAGCAATCTTACATTATGCAAGAGAAGACAGTAGCACTGAATGACAAATACGAACACCAGGTAGAGCTTTTGCCATATATTCATCATTGACGACGCTGCTGCTTTCACTTTACAGCAATAATTTGCTACACAAATTGCAAATAAATGATAAAAGATCATCAGAGTGACCTGGAATTGCAAAGTTATAAAAAAGGAACGCAAATGTTAATAATAACATCTCGTTAACGTCCATTTCTTTTTGTGAAGTCAACATTCGTTTCTGTGAAGCTTTAATAAATTTTATGAAAGCTCCTCGAGTTGACTTTTGGAGTCGTCTCAACAGTACAGATCACTTGAACGAGCACAGTTCTTATTAATATCAACAAATGAAAATTATCCATCACAAGAGGAATAACTGGAAGTCAAAACATACTTTCAGAATACTCTCGAATGGAGTGAAGAAAAGTGGGAATATTGAAATATTCGCGATTGTTGACAGCACAATGAATGATGGAAGAAAACGATGATCCTGCAAATGTTCTCGAATAGTCCGGACTGAAGACTAATCGACCTTTTTTCAAAATAAATTTCAAATCAAAAAAATCAACCTTATCAAAAATAGTTCATTAAAATTAAACTGATATGGTAAGGATTATCTCCGTGAAGGATTATTTTGCTCATTTCTTCTGATGATTACCTACTGATGGTTTGTTTCTTAGCTTCCATGGGGGACCTTACGGTTATAGCCAGCACTATCGTGTGTATTTGATCACTATAAATCATCCAAAATCATCGCACAAAAATCCGCAACAAACCAAAACAGCGAGGATTGTGTATGGTATGGTGATCAATAGGACGGCTTTCTCGTGAACATGATAACCAGCCAAGAAGAATGCAAATGCTGAGTGTGTTAGCAGCAAAATGAAAGTGTTTGGATCACGAAATCGTCGTCGTTGCTTCATTAGAATACATATCGATGGACTTAACAAGCATAATATCACGACAAGGGTTATGTGAGCATTTATCGACGGTAATACACTATGCGGATATTCCTAAAATTTTTTACCAGTTTATCGATACATATATCGATACAACATCTCTATTTCAAAATGCGAATTGTGTGACTCTTTGGATGTGTAAACCTTCCAAGATGCTCACTGAATTCTGTCATCATCTCAGACTTTTTCGGTGATATCCAATTGAAAGTTTGAAAATTTCAATCAGTCTACCAATCCCGGTATTTGATTTTGAAACAGCCAAAAACATTGACTTAATCGGATAAAGAAGCATTCAAACCATAGAACGAAACCTGAACAAGGCCTGATGTGTATAGTGGAGGATTGATCGCAGGCGATAATTTACTGAATCGTTTCAATAAATTATAAAGAATTAAATCAATGAAATTATACAATGCCCACAAATTCGGTGCCCAATAGGCATGTGTCAAACCACGTTGGAACGGGAACAATCTTGAGATAATTTGCGAGCACAATTCTATGCCACCAAGCCATAAGAATGGCCCTAAAGTTATCAGTTTCCTTATCCATATCTGTCGCATAATCACAAAAAAGACACCGACCAATCTGTCTCACAGAAAACAGACAATAAACTGAGACCTGCGAGATTCGCATATCCCATTGAGTTTCTTCACGAAAGCGAATATAATCTGAGGCAATGGTCTACAAACAAATCAAAAATATCACGTATCTAACGTGAGTGATCAAATTAAAGCGAACAAAATAACTGAAAACTGACCAAATGAAACTAAAAATGGTATGCACATCGAGAATGCTAATTTCGCACATCGCGAAATAACTGACCGATCAAGTGTCTTCAAAAGATAAGCAAACGAATAGATTAACACATATGCAAATGCATAATACAAATAGATATGTTTCATATTCAACAATATGCAATACATAAAAGCCGCCTGAAAAACGAACTCTTCAAAATTTCAAAGCATGAAATAAATTTGAAACATAAGTTATTGAATAAGCAATGTTTGGAAATAAATTTTCCAAATGTCCCCGAAATCGTTCTATAAATCTTTCACAAGAAACATCTCCACAAGAACTGCATCACTTAAAGAAACCAACCAAGAGAAAGCGTTCTTGAAGAGCCAAACTGATTGAAAGTAGAAGAACTGTTGTCAGCAATGAATTGTATTGAAAGTGAATATTATCAATCAAAATCAACGTGATATTCGCGATCAACAACAGGAATAACCCCATTGCACAGTGTTTCGAACGATCACCTTTGAAGCGTATCGAATGCATTGTATTCGCGAGAAAACCACATGAAATTATCTGAATTCAATGATGCATTCATAATTTGAGAAGTAATAATTTTTCAATTCGTAGATAAGGGTCAAACAAATTGTGCTGTTAGCACTGCATCCACTGTTTTTTCACCAGTAAAATTTTACAGGCTGAAATTCAACGAAACAATGAATTAAAAATAAACAAACTTACATAAAATAGATCACAAACAATGACACTGAATCGATGAAAATAGAGTAGCTCTTTGGAGAAATATGCCTCTTTCTGAATGATTAATGCAGATGGTACGACACGATTGGCCACCTGAAAAAGAACTATTAATATGCAATAACCAATGAAACATTTTGAAACTATAACAATAATAATAATCATACGACTTCAATCATAATGCATTAAACGAACTTGAAAGACACTCACCATGCCCAACAACAATTCGAAATACGCAAATAAAGGTGGATAATCAAGGGTCCATTCCGAGGTGTTTTCGTAATACCACACTTTCATCGGTAAATTATGCGTTATTGCCATCCAATTACGATGTACCTTAAATTTTAGCACTTCAATACAGTTCAAATTTCAGCTTTAACATTAAGCAAAATTAATGATGGTCTAAAGAAAATGAATGCAGTGATGAAAATGATTAAGAGTGATTAACTGAAAAAATTTTTGAAGTTAGGAAGGTTGTTAATTAGAATCATTTCTAATGTTAACTTGAATAGTACACAAACCTCAAAATCTGTGCTGTGGTACATGGGCACAACGAGAGTTTTCAACGTCAAAATAAACGACGAGGAAATCCAAAACGACCACGTACGGAATATATTCCATTCTCTAGATGGCTCAGTTTGCGCGGATTTCTTCAGTTTCTGCTGGGCCATCTCGCTGATATTCACTCAGCAGATGTGAACTCTGCAAGAAGCAACTCGAATATCACTAGAGAATTCATCCGAAAAATAATTATTTGATTTAAGTGTTAGCCTGAAGCATTTCCGGCAATTATTTCAAATTTTCAATAAGAAATTGAGGAATCAGTTGAATTCAGAAAATACTTTTCAAATCTGAACACAATGCGAACCGTCATGAACTCTCAGCATTCCAGATGAAACGTAAGAGTTTAAATGGGTGAATGCTGTAACTTTATTTTATTCTTCACATCCAAGAAGTTCTTGATATTATGATTTGATGAGTGTAATTCTAAAAAACGGGAACGGAATCTCCATCTGATAGCAGGGGAAGACGATTGA